CCCCACTATCATGATCCCAATTCTACCTGACAAATCCGGTGGACCGGAGGATGTACACTGGTACAGAGAGGAACTGGAAACGCAGGGAATCCAGGACAGATGAAACCCTCAGGACCAGTGGTGAGAGTGGCAATACCGGGGTAAAGGGAAGGTGAGGGAGAAAGGGGGAACAGATTACACGGATCTACATATAATCTCCTTCCTGGGGGATGGACAGCAGAGAAGTGGGTGAAGGGAGATGTCGGATGGTGTAAGATATGGCAAAAAAAATAATTTATAAATTATCAAGGGTTCATGGGGGTGCGGGGAGGGAGGGGAAAAATGAGCTGATACCAAGGGCTCAAGTAGAAAGCAAATGTTTTGAGAATGATGATGGCAAAATATGTACAAATGTGCTGGACACAATGGATGGATGGATGGATTGTTATAAGAGTTGTACGAGCCCCCAATAAAATGATTTTTTTAAAAAGAAAAGATAAGGGTGCTACAGAAAAGCGTGGTGAAGAAAGTAGATGATGCCTGGCTATAAATCAGAGTAGTGTCTGGGGTCTTCTAAAGAGCAGCCATCTAAATAAGTAATCAACTAAGTCCACATAGAAGAAGCACACTAGCTTGTGTGATCCAAAGATGACAATTACAAAATTCAAATATGGTGAAGGGAAAAGCATCAGAGCAAAAATTATGAACACCCTATTTGTGGAGGGATATGGGGGCTGGTGGGAGCCCCAAGCCCCTCTTCAGAGTATCTGGTCAGACTGAGCCACTGGCAGATCCGCTCTGGCCACAGGTAAGAGTCTTGAGCAGCCTTACATCAGGCAGAGACCATTGTAATCTTGATTCTGTTGGACGGAGCTAGACACTTGGCCAGTTGACCTCCCTATCAACCTGACCGGAATTTGTTCTGAGTGCCAGTATCTCTTACTTGTTCCATGGCAGAAAATTTCCCCTGGCTTTTTAAATGTTGATGTTTTGGTTTTTATTCTTACCCTATTTGTAGTTTTGTCTTTATATTACGATATTATTATTTTATCCTTACCACTTTATTGTATCTGTTGGGTTTCCCAGTTTGTGAAGCACGGGAGGAGTGGATGCATAGTGAGAATAACTGATACAAGGGCAGACAGGGGATGCAGGGGTGCGGGTGGGGGTGATAAGGAGGGAAAGGGATTTCAGGAATAAGAAAGGCAGGGGTGGGGGGTGGCGAGGAGCTCTAGAAATGATTGGGATTGCACAACTCATTGTAAAAGCAATTTAACAAGGGGAGGGCACAATGTTTTAAAATTGATATGGTAATGATTGTACAATTCCCCTTGAGATGACTGAACGATTAGACTATTGAATTGTATGATAAAAAAGAGAATTGTATGATAACATAAATGATGTGCCAATAAAACTGTTAAGGAAAAAAAAAACTTACAGTGTTGGAAATTATCTATAGCATCGCTTGGAATTTGAATCGACTTGCTGACAATGGTTTGGTTTGTCTTTGCCCAGAGAATGAGCAAATCAGTTTGGGAAGAGGTACAGCTGGTACCTCTTTAAAGCAGGACCAGTTCCTGGCAAAGGCCATCATTCTTGGTAAAATAGAAGATGAGCCAAAAAGAGGCAGGCCCTTGGAGAGATGAACTGACTAAGTGGCTGAAACAGCAACAATTATGAAGAAGGCCCAGGAATGGGCAGTAGTTTGTTCTGGTGAGGAAAGGTAGCTGTGACCGGTAACACCTAACAACCACCGACATTCCAACAGTGGGGATCTGAGTAAATCAAATCATTCAAAAGAAAGCTTTGCATCTGTTACAATAATGGCTATTGAATCATATGAAAGGACATGAGAGGCTGCTAAAGATAGGACACCAAATGAAAAGTTTAGGTTTTAATAATCATATTTCTTGAAAAACTCAAAGCCAAAAAACACACAAAAACTGGGTAGGAGGAAGGCCACATACAAAGCCATTACCAGACCCTACTGTTCTACCGGTGGGGCCCTGCGTTGGACTGTGATCTGCAAGGGTCACAGCTCAAAACCATGAGTCGCTCCTCAGGAGATAGACAGGGCTTTCTACTCTAGTAAAGAGCCTCAGAAACTCACAGGGGGCAATTCTACCCTGTCTTTGAGGGTCACTAAGAGTCAGCATTGACTCATTGGCAGTGAATGAGTAATATTCTATAGAGAGTAAGATTAAGGGAGGGCCTAGAACTTTTACACTTCATATGTTGCTATTGCTTGAACTTGCTATAAAGAAGACAGTTTTTCAAATTTAGGAAGGGAGAGAAAGAGAATAGTAAAATATGTTTTTGAACATTTAGACAAATGTCTGATACGATATATATCAAAGAGGCCTCTTAATAATTTTTATTTTCTTATTTAAAAACATTAATATTCCAAGTAAGTGTGTAATAATCTATGTGATGTAAACACTATTGAAAGTACCATCAAATCTGATTATGAAGGCAAAGGTTATAGAGCTAGGGGCATTCTTCGAAGATATTTGAATGTGATTTACTTGGGCTTCATGCTTACTTTTATTTATCTTTATTTTCTTTCTTTCTTTTTTTTTTAATGATTTCCATTCAACGTGGCCAAGAAGGTAAATTGAGACCAACCAAAAGGCAAGCCTTCCTGAAAGAAGACAAAACGCCTCTGTAACCCGTGGAATAAAACTTCACCAGTAGAACGTGACTCTCTGGCCATGAATGACTTCAATTGCTGGGAGACAGAAAATTTTAACAAGAACAAAGAATATGGGAGCCTTTTCAGGGCTCTGGTTGTCATTCCAGGCCAAGCACACTCGTAACTTTAGATTATAATGATGGGGACAAAGAACAAGGTGTCCCATTCACCGCCAGGCTCTTGCAGCCAGGGGGTCCCTGGCCTTCTGCAAGCCTTTCACTGAAGTGAAAATGAGAAAGGACGTTCAAGGAGTGTGAGTGGGCCCGGAGCAGGTAAATCACCACCAGCCATATAAATAATGGCACGAAATGAGCAGAAGAGCTGAAACGATGCCGTCTGATCACTCACCACTGAAAAGATAGGCACTAAATCAGGGTCCCTTCTGTCTGAAGCTGTTGTTTTTACTCAACAGTTAAGCATCCAAGGAAATACCAGTTGGGTCTTAAAGACAATTTATAGCTCGGTGGGCCTCATTGCACCTGGCTGTGTTTTGACAGCAGGTTTGGTCAGTTTATAGCAGATTCCTGTCTGCATTATAAGCTGCCACTAATACAGCTAGATCTTTATAGGAAAAAAGAAGTAAAGTTCAGAGGTAAATTGCTCCCTTTCACGTGTCTCTCTCCTTCATGAAAAGCAAAAGCCACTTGCTGCTGCAAAGCAGCCTCCTCTTCAGGTGAAGTGAGAGCCTGCTGGGGGGAGAAGGTCAGAAGCAGGGTTATAACTAAGGTGAGCAGACATCTCGCTTTTGGTGGGACAGTTCCAATTTTTAACAATTTTTCCCGCATCCCACAGCGTTTTTAAAAAGTCCCAATTTTTGGAAAGAATGCACAACAAGCTAGGGTATATGATTTTTGGCTGCCATGTGGCTATTTCGCCAGGATATGAGTTTTATCATTGGTGTCCCGCTTTACCAATGTTAAAATCTGGTCACCTTACATAACCCAAGTGGGTGCTCCAGCTTCTAGGCCCCTCTTTGTTCTCCCTTCCTCCAGGAGAATTGCTGAAAACCACAGGCCCCATTTGCCTCTGGGGCAGAGACTACAAGAATAGGCTCTCTGAGCCCCTAACACTTCCCAAAGAATTTCTGTGAGCTCTGGAACAGCGTGGCCTTGGGGTACTAAGTAAATGGCTTCCTAGCTACAACAGGAGAGGTGAGGCCTGCCGGTTCAGGAACTGGTAAACCTTTCATACTTCCCTCTGATTTTTGCACCCAGGGCACGGTCTGGTTTGGATGGGACCCTCCTAGAAAACATCAGAGCTCATTATAATACGTGTGAGTTGCAAGCACTTCCCCTACCCCTTTTTAATTTTAGCTTTTTGTTTTTCAAAACTCAGGGGCTTATTCTTTTTGGCTTGCAGACTTTGAATAGGTGACACACATTCCTGGACAGAGGGCAGTGGGTCCTCCTTGAGGAGCAGGGCTGATAGTGGCTTGTGGCTGTGACTGTCCTCCCGTGTGGCAGAAAAGGACAGAGACTTGAGGAGAGGGAGAGAAAGGCAGTGGAGAACAGAACAGACTCCACCCCTCTTCCTTAATTTGGTGCTTCATCCTCAATGACATCCAGAGAGACTCAAGGTGGACGCTCCTATAACCTGCCACGTGCCACTGAACCAGAAAGGAGTCGGCTGGAGGGCCTGCTCACCAGGGACCAGGGCTGAGTTTCCCACTTGCACTGTGGTCATGCCAGGCAACAGAAACTGCCACCATGAGTCAGGTCCAGCCTGGGAACAGCCCAGAGCAGCCATTCCAGGGCACCACTCTGGGAGGTCACAATTAGGCTGGTGAGGTATCCAAGGGCTGCTCATGAAGCTCTGGGTGGCATTGAGGGAAAGGGGGCTGCAGGCCCCGTGATTCCCCAGGGAGTGGAACTCCAAAAAAACCTCACTGCCATTGAGTTGATTCTGGCTCATGGCAACCCTACAGGACAGAGTAGAACTGCCTTTGTAGGCTTGCGAGACTGTAAATCTTTACAGAAGTAGAAAGCTTTGTTTTTCTCTCACAGAGCAACTGGTAGTTTCAAACTGCCAACCTTCCAGTTAGCAGCCCAATGCATACAGAATCCACCACATCACTAGGGCTTCTTTCAGGGAGTGAAGCTAGCAGGGCAAATGCTGGTCTCAGAGTTATTCATGGACTGCAAGGCGGGAGGGAATCCACCTCAAGCAGGAATAGGCTCAGGTCTTTCAAGTAGGACAATGCAGGGGCCTGGGCATGTCTCAGAGCACCAAATCTAAGTGGGCCGCCTGGAGAAGTCCAATCTGAGGCAGGGATGCTGAGCCAGGGGAGGGGCAGAGGGGCAGGCAAGCAGGGCAAGTGAGGGACTGAAACTACAGGTTTCTCTGAGGAGATCTAAAGGCAAACCAGCTCACTATCTGTTCCACCCAAAGAACAGGACTGTTTCCTGATGATTACACAAAACACAACTCAAGTTATACAGATCTCATTGAACAGAAATCTCAAGATCCACCACCATGTTCCCAGTAACATCACTGTCCACTTGAGGCATTGAAGTGGAAGTGAGGAGACCAGTATTTTCCTTAGGGCCTTAGGGATACTCCAATTGAGTAAAATAATTACACACACACACACACACACACCACACATCTTCACAATTCATTGCGATCAAGTCCATGATGACTCATAGTGAGCCCCTGTGGGTTTACAGGGCTGTAACTGTTTATAGGAGTAGAAAGCCCAGTCTCTCTCCAGAGAAGCTGCTGGTGGTTTTGAACTCTTGCCTATGCTGGCTGCAGCCCAACGAATAATCAGTACATCATCAGGGCTCATCTACAATCTTACACATGATTGAAATGCCAAGTAGCAAGCTTTACTGTTTGCCACAGACACGACAGAAGCAGCTGCCATCTTTAGTGTACCTGCGGTATTCCGGAGCTCTCGAGCCAGTCTTGGAAAATGTTTTCAACAGACAACTCAAGCCTTTAAAAAAAACAAAAAAATTATAAACACCAGGGGCACTTATTACACAGACTAGCACATTCTTAGTGTCAATCTTCCAGAGAAATACCTATCCTTTGGAGAAAGAGCAGCACCCACCCCCACCCCCACCCCCCACTGGAGTGTGGAAGAGAATCCAGGCCCATTCAGTACAGCTTCTCCTCAGTTAATGGCCAGATGCATGATAAAATCTGAAAACAGGGCACACACCATGATTGACCTCTTTAAAGCTTTGCAAGGAATGTCAGCTCTGTTCAGGATGTCAATTCAGGGAGGATAATGCATATTCATAGGTAGTGCATCAAAATGAAATCCACACATGACAGCCTTTAGGGCACCAATGTGAAACGTGAACATTATACGGTGCATTGAACCTTATGGACCTTTATCATCTCCTAGGTGGGGCCGAAACAAGCCACACCAACACAGATGATTATGGAGACAAAGGGAGGCCAAGGTGCATGGCCCCCATGCGGCCCCCACTGCTTCAGTCACTGTATTTGAAGGACTGTGACCATGCAGGCGCCGTCTGATCCCTAGTCAGCTGAAATGCTTTTGGTTTCATGCCCTGCTGACTTGAACACTCCTTCAAATGACCAAGTGTCCAATACATTTAGGGTCAAGTGACCTTGGGCTGTGTCTTCCTGCCTTCCTCTGCTAATAAGGCAGGAAGCCAATTCCCCCAACCCTGGCTTCTTCGGGTCAATCCTGCACATACCTGCACCTCCACTTACAGAGGCCTCCCTTGATCCCGCTTCCAGGCTTGTAGGGTTTCGCCCTCCTGCCCTGTCCTCTCTACATTCACCCCTGTTGAGACTGAGATGGATTTGATAACTGGACTCTGGCCATGTCTGTCTCAACTCCCCCCTCCAAATCTCACAGGCAGAACACTTCATGTAAGGCTCCATGACTAGATCTTTAAAACTTTTCCTTTTTTAAATGAATGAAGCACACTTTACTATTGACTTGACAAAACAGTTTTCGGGAGGAATGAAGATTTTTCACTTAGGGGGCTTTACGTTTACGTTAATGGTGGCTGGCTGTTGTTGCCAGGACCCTTCTGAGTTCGCTCTAATGTCCAACCGAAGGAGACATCCTCACAATTGTTATGCTTGGGCCCGTGGTTACAGCCACGGCGTTGCTGAGGTCCCCTTTGGCACCGGACCTCTCATTCACCAAGCACCACATCCTTTTCCAGGGACTAGTCTCTCCTGAGGAAGGGGTGGTAGTTTAATGGTTGTGTGTTGCTAATTCCAAGAGCCTGGGTGTTCCACTCCTATAAAGAGTTACAGTCCTGGGACTTCACAGCGACAGTTCTACCCTGTTCTATAGGATCACTATGAGCTAAAATTGACTCAATTGCAGTAAATTTGGAGTTTTGGAGTCTTTCCTGACAACATGTCCAAAGTACGCTAGGTGCACCATGGTGCATTCTGGTTGTACTTCCTAGAAGATGTATTTGTTTTTCTAGTACTTTGCGGTAGGTACTTTCAATATTCTTCACCAACACCACAATTCAAACACATAAATTCTCTTCTCCCTTTCTTATTCACTGTCTGGTTTTCACGTGATTATAGGACGACAGAAAACACCATGGCGTGGGTCAGATACACCTTAGCCCTCAAAGGGGCACTTTACTCTTTGACACTCGAGATCCATCTGAATCCTCAAAATGGCATCTTTGCTTGTTGGCTCTTTAAGAAGCTGGTCCCCAGCAGAGTGCCCATGCACTCACTGCCATGGACTCTTGGTTGAGTTTGGTTTACGAGGGTTAAATCCGGTTGGAAATGCCCTGCCCTGGCACGAGTCATGTGTGAGGAGGCCAGGGGGCTGGCTGGGCTGCTTGGAGAGAAGGAAGGGCAAAGAAGAAGAAATCAGGCTCTGCTCTAAACTAGGACGGGCAACTTACAATGCTTGCAGGGCCATCTCAAACAATAAATAAATCAATAAACTCACTGCTATCGAGTTGACGCTGACTCATAGCGACCTCCCTGTGGATTTCCAAGACTGGGACTGTTTACAGGAGTAAAAAGTCCCATCTTTCTTCCAAGGAGCAGCTGGTGGTTTAGAACTACCAACCTTGCAGATGCTAACCACTCCGCCCCCAGGACCCCCAGCAGAGCTGTCACTACCACTCAAACTCAGGTCGATGAGGGGTAAAGAAGGGAACTCAACCCTCCACCACAGGACTCATCCTCTCTGGAGGCACCTGCAGTGGCTGATGTAGAACTGCTAATCTGCAGGCAATGCAAGTGAGAACATGCGCCAATCGAACAGTCTTCCGTGTAAATTATAGAATCTACACATTTTATTTTAAAATAAAACAATGTCACATTTCTTTGGACACAGGTAATAAAGTGTCCTTCAATTGCTTCCTATCTAGCTGAAAAGAGACCCTGTTCGGCCAAGAATTCAGGGATTCTTATCACCATGCTTGAAGGGGTATTCAGGTGACCCAGAATGACCTGACAGGCTACTCTGACGGAGTTTTGTTTGGAGAACATGTTTGAATGGGGTTTCCACACTGAAGAGGAAGATAAAGAATGTAGCAATGATTTAGGGAAGAGATGCAGCAATGATCAAAGGGGCATGTGCGCTGGGGCCTTTACAGAGGGATGGGATTAAATTTCCCAAAGAAGAGAAGTCTGAAGAGCAAATGAAAAGCCGTTTTGAGAGACTTCACAAAAGATGGTGAACAGCTGGGGTACATCACTGTGGAGGAGTGAACAAGAGGCCACAGACATAAACTTCCTCTGGGGTGGTTGAGCATAAAGACACTTCTTTAGGGAGTGGTGCAGGGAGGGGGCTGTGGGTGTAGGCTTGGAATGTTATTGATTGAGGCCCAAAGATTTTACCACAGAAGACTAAAGTACAGGCAACGCCTTCTTTGTGTGGCACACTCATGGACACCCAATGGACAGAAGGTTCCATGGAAGGCTGAAACGGCACCAGGACAAGGCTATCTGCTACGGACACGGTGTTTGCTGCCAGGGAGTTGGCATCCGATTCAAGGCAGCCTTGTACACAACAGAACAAAATGTTGCCCAGTCCTGGCACACCCCCACCATCACTAGCAGGCCAGACCATTGTGATCCACATGGTTTTCATGGATGATCTTAGGAAGGAGCTCACCAGCCTTTCTTCCTGGCCTCTTTTAGTCTGGAAGCACCACTGGAACCACTTCCGTATCATAACAACATGTAAACCTCCAGTAACAGATGAGTACACTAAGGCATATTAGCTGGGCATCGAACCTGGGCCAACTTCCCACATGGAAAGTAAACCCTGGCTTCCCTTCTTTGCTTTACCAAATTTAGTATTTAGACACAGATAATTAATATGCAGTGACCTTAAAGACAAATATACAAAGAGACAAGAAACCCCCTGTCCACTCCAAATGAAGGCATTAAGGGAGTAGCTGCTGGTTATCAGACAACTGCTATCTACTAGACACTGTGACTAAACTCTCGTTTAAACTCCACGGTAACTGTGCACGACCAATATCATCCTCATTCTAGAAAGGGGCAAACCAAGACTCTATGAGGTTATCTTAAGACCACACAGATAGTACTTACAGGGGCTAGGATTCAAACCTATGCTGCCTGGTTGCAAACCCTCAACTTTCCCTTTTGTGCCAAACACAGGCTTTAAGACAACTCGCCTGTTTTTGATATATGGCACAGACAGCCTGCAGCCGAGAGGGGCTGTGCTTGTACCAAATAAAGGTCTACTTCCTGTCTCATGGATGTCTCTACTGCTGAAGGCGTGGTTGCCCTGCCCTCCAATTACTATCAGAAGCCATGGAGAATCTCTGGGGAGGGGCAAGTGTGGGGGCAGGCACTCTCCAGGAGCAAAAGATCCCCTCCTGGGAATAACGAGAACATGTGTTTCCAGATCACTTTCCTTTGGAAAGGTTCAAAGCACCTTAGAACCTTTATCATTTTATCCTTCATAATATCTCTGTGAAGTGATATCAATTGTTGTGTGGCCTTTTGGGGGTGGAGGGTAGGGGTGGGGGGTTGACAATGGAGATATTGAAGAGCAAGAGGGCCCTGGCCAAAGCCAGTCCAGAAAAACTCAAGAAAAACTCAGGTCTCCAGTCTCTGAATCATTACAGATATCAACCTGCACTAAGAGCCTATCTGGGAATTGCTAACATGGAATGCAATGTTAAGGCCTGAAAGAAAGAGGAAAGCCATGATTCCAGCTGCTAAAAACACTATTCTTTAAAAGGCAATGTCAATGGCCTTAATCATCCCCCAAAGGAAATTAAGAAAGAACATACAAAAATATTTAATTTTCTGAGAAGACACAGACTCAAATTTTGCCACTCAGCTACTGCCTCTTGGATGGTTATTTTAGGCAAGAAGATTCTACGTGTATAGATTTTGCTCA